TATATATATATATATATATATATATATATATATATATATATATATATATATATATATATATATATATATATATATATATATATACATATATATATATATATATATATATATATATATATATATACATTATTGTTTTTACCTAAAAAAAATATATTATTGCTGCAGTAATTTTAAATTAGCTGGACTCGCTAGCACCGGTTAGCTTGACCTGCTGCGGTGGCGTTTCGTTGAGAAAGTTGCAACAAAGCTAAATTATTGAATTATTGTAAAATGTTGGTTTAGTTACGGGGATGTATTGACTATTAGTGTCAGTAAAATTAAACTAAAACATAAAACTACTGTTGTAAAGTATGAAATTCTAATTGCAGTAACTTAAAGTGGTGTCAAATACACTAGAGAAACACACCACACCTGAGAGTTAGCAGTGATGGAGACCTGCTGGCTTAACGGTAGCATCTGCTGCCCCCTGGTGGCGAGTCAAAGTGATTTACTGCCATTCCGCAGGGAGTTTCTGATGAGGTTCTCTGTTCCTGCACTGGCTTTGAAGCAGATGGAGAGTGCGGACACGGTGCATGACGTTCACAGTTCAAATATATAAAAGCATTATTGTTTTCTAACACATCGAACATGGCCCTTTGGTCAAATAAAAATAAATAAATAAATAATAATAATAATAATAATAATAATAATAATAATAATAATACACATCTCTGTTTTTGTGAAAATAAATATATTTTTGATCCAGATTTTCCTTCACATCACAATTCATTTCAACATTATGGATTAAAAAAATAACTCAAAAATTAAATTCATGCGCATTTGTTTGTGTTGCTAGTTATAGTTACCAAATAATTAAACTGTAAACTTCTTTTGCTCAGACAGGTCATACATAAGACCAATAAAATACAAATTTAAATACTAATGTTATATTGTTGGTCAGCAGAGAGTTACTGACAAAAGAAGGAGGGTAAACTACAAAACTGTTTAACTTCCCTTTGGGATTGATAAGGTCTCACTGAAATGAATTTGAACTAACAAGGTTTTTACTAAAGAAGCTGACAGCTTAGAGTGCTGGATCCAAGTTTACTAATTGGAAAGTTAAGTGGAAGGAAAAACTGAAATAGAAAAAGGTTCAGGTACACTCAGGGATAAATAACTGCAGCATTGTTTGAAGTGTCTTACCTGGGCTGAGGAGGGAAAGGACCGGGTCGCTGCTCAGTTGTCCAAAGTCGTCTTCTTCAGATGAAGGTAAGTTTTGCTTTTCAGAAAGCCTTCAAGGTCCCAGTTTCCAGTGATGATTTGAATTGCGGTGGCGTCTGCTGGTGCTGGTCAGCTGGGTTTTATCAAGTCCAAAGTGAGTCCAGCCATCTACCAGGAAATTAGAGAGGCGTCAGGGACTGTGTTTGATTGTCAAAAGGAAGATGAGAGGCAGAATAGTGAAAAATGCAGACAAGCTGAAGTCTATTGCATCTGACAGGGAGCAGCACATTCACATGCATGTTTTTCTTAAAAATACACTTTAATTAGCAAAATAATTAAATTATCTGAGACCTGCAACCAGTGGGGCAAAAAGTGGGTATGCAGCGCATGCAACGCATAGAGGCGCAGCACCAGAGGGGGCGTCAAAACCCCGTGTGGAGAGGGCGGCGCGCCGATTATGTTTTCCTATACACTTCAGCGCGCCTTACGCTCCTTCACCTCACGCACGTCACGAGGTAAATGTGGCAAGTTTTACCCTTCACGTATCGT